GCAGCCCTCGAAAGTAGCGACAGTTTCACAGATCGCAGCCCCCCGAGGATGGCGAGGTCGAATCTGAGTCTGCGGCGTGTACCCACTGTGCTGTGCCCCTCAGCAGCCCTCGAAAGTGGCGACAGTTTCACAGATCGCAGCCCCCCAGGGGTGGCGAGGTCTAATATGAGTCTGCGGTGCCACTGTGCTGTCAGCAGCCCTCGAAAGTGGCGACAGTTTCACAGATCGCAGCCCCCCAGGGGTGGCGAGGTCTAATATGAGTCTGCGGTGAGTACCCACTGTGCTGTGCCCCCCAGCAGCCCTCGAAAGTGGCGACAGTTTCACATATCGCAGCCCCCCAGGGATGGCGAGGTCTAATCTGAGTCTGCGGTGAGTACCCACTGTGCTGGGCCCCTCAGCAGCCTTCGAAAGTGGCGACAATTTCACAGATCGCAGCCCCCCAGGTATGGCGAGGTGTAATTTGAGTCTGCGGTGAGTACCCACTGTGCTGTGCCCCTTCAGCAGCCCTCGAACGCGGCGACAGTTTCACAGATCGCAGCCCCCCAGGGATGGCGAGGTCTAATTTGAGTTTGCGGTGAGTACCCACTGTGCTGTGCCCCGTCAGCAGCCTTCGAAAGTGGCGATAGTTTCACAGATCGCAGACCCCCAGGGATGGCGAGGTCTGATCTGAGTCTGCGGTGGGTACCCACTGTGCTGGCCCCCCCAGCAGGCCTCGAAAGCGGCGACAGTTTCATAGATCGCAGCCCCTCAGGGATGGCGAGGTTAAATTTGGTTGTGCGATGAGTACCCACTGTGCTGTGCCCCTTCAGCAGCCCCCGAAAGCGGCGACTGCTTCACAGATCGCAGCCCCCCAGGGATGGCGAGGTCTAATTTGGGTTTGCGGTGAGTACCCACGGTGCTGGGCCCCTCAGCAGGCCTCAGCGACAGTTTCACATATCGCAGCCCCCCAGGGATGGCGAGGTCTAGTTCGAGTCTGCGGTGAGTACCCAGTTTCACAGATCGCAGCCCCCCAGGGATGGCCCGAGTCTGCGGTGAGTACCCACTGTGGTCTGTTTGAGTCTGCGGTGAGTACTCACTGTGTTGTGCCCCTTCAGCAGCCCTCGAAAGTAGCGACAGTTTCACATATCGCAGCCCCCCAGGGATGGCGAGGTCTAGTTCGAGTCTGCGGTGAGTACCCACTGTGTTGTGCCCCTTCAGCAGCCCTCGAAAGTGGCGACAGTTTCACAGATCGCAGCCCCCCAGGGATGGCGAGGTCTAATTTGAGTTTGCGGTGAGTACCCACTGTGCTGTGCCCCTTCAGCAGCCCTCGAAAGTGGCGATAGTTTCACAGATCGCAGCCCCCCAGGGATGGCGAGGTCTAGTTTGAGTCTGCGGTGAGTACTCACTGTGTTGTGCCCCTTCAGCAGCCCTCGAAAGTGGCGACAGTTTCACATATCGCAGCCCCCCAGGGATGGCGAGGTCTAGTTCGAGTCTGCGGTGAATACCCACTGTGCTGTGCCCCATCAGCGGCCCTCGAAAGTGGCGACAGTTTCACAGATCGCAGCCCCCAGCAGCCCTCGCAAGTGGCACAGGGATAACCAGGTAGGAAGCAGGCTGACATGCAGCGACGAGCGAGATAAATGGCAGGGGGGAAGAGAGGGACGGGAAGGAAGGAAGGTTCGCGCGAGCAGTGCTCTATTCAAAACGAGAACCCCACGCAGGAGGGTTGGGAAAAACTGAAAGGGCGTTTGAAACAGGAAAACACCATGACTGCAGGATGGGACATGGAGAAGGGGAAGCTGGGGCGCACCGCCAGGGCATGCCTAAAAGAAGGGGCAGAGGCAGGAGGTGAACGCAGAAGAATCGAATATCGAGGTCGCAATCGGGCGCAAGTGGGTTGCCACACCTTGCGATGTGTGTACCAGGGCCCCCCAGGAAACGTCAGGAGGCCCGACTTGGATGCCGGAAGAGGCTCCAGGAGGCCCCGGGATTGTGAGTGTTGTGTGTGTGATGTGTGTTCTGTGTTGTGCGTGTTTTCTGTGCGTTGTAGGTGTTGTGTGTGTGTTATGTTTGTCTAGGGTGTGATGTGTTGGGTGTGATTTGTGTCTTTGTGTGTGCATGGCATGTAGTTCCGAGGCCCCAGGCGGCCTCAGGAGGCCCCAGAAGACCCCAGGAGGCTCCAGGAGGACCCAAGAGGCTCCAGGAGGCCGCAGGAGGCCCCAAGAGGTTCCAGGAGACCCCAGGAGGCTCCGAGGCGGGGTCTGGGGTACCAGAAGGTACAGAAAGCCCCAGGAGGCTCCAGGAGGTTCCAGGAGGCTCTCAAGAGGCTCCGAGGCGGGGTCTGGGGTACCAGAAGGTACGTCGGGGCTCGATTTTGGGAGGATGTCTCAGGCGAAATCGTCATTCTCTGAGAATCGGGGTCAAAATCATTGAACTTACAATTTTTGTTTGAAGCTTTATGTTAGAATGTTGAAATTTCCATGTGTTTTTGGACCCTGACGTCACGATCTGCGTTAAGGGTGCCACCGACTTTCAGAATTTCGAGGATGTCCCTAGCGAAACGGCCTGAAAAATCGCGGACGCGGCGCCCCGCGTACGCACTAATCGGCACTAATCGGAGAGGTGCGTATGAGTATATATATATATATATATATACATACATACATACATACATACATACATACATACAGACATACATGTGTGTATATCTATATCTATATCTATATCTATATACATATACATATATATGTATGTATATATACATATATATGTGTGTGCACAGGCCCGTGGTCCCCAAACATGTGCCCCCATTGGGGGACTGGGAAGCTCCGGGGGTTTTGCCGAGGCGCCGGGGGCCCCCTAAGATCGCCCGAAGACGGCCCCCGGATCGCCAAACATGGCGTTTCCAGATTGCGGGAACGACCAATGACGGCCAAGACGGCCAAGGCGGCCAGAATTAGCCCCTGACTATCCAAGAGGCCTCCAAGATGCCCCCAGAAACCTCCAAGATAAGATGCCTCCAAAGGAGTCCCGCGAGGCACAACTTGTTAATGATTTTCCAAAAAAGGTTTTTGAAGGATTTCCAAGCTCTCGCCTTTTCAGTGTTCTGACGCTCCACGACGACCCAAGATGTCATATTGTCCGCTCCAAGACAGCCCCAGGGGCCTCGAAAACGGCCCCAAGACTGCCCAAGAGGGCCCCAAGACGGCGCCAGAGGCGCACAGGACGGCCCGAAAGGGCCCTATGGAGCTCCTCCGAAGGTCCCAGTGGCGCAGCCCGCATGCGTCCGCCACACCCGGTACAGCGCTTTGTGGCCCCATGGGGAGCTCCACCGAAGGCCCCAGTGGCGCAGCCCGCATGCGTCTCCCACACCCAGTACACCGATCGTGGCCCCATAGGGAGCTTCACCGAAGGTTCCACTGGCGCACCCCGCATGAGTCCCTCCCACCCAATACAGCCTTTCGTGGCCCCATAGGGAGCTCCACCGAAGGTCTCAATTGCGCAGCCCGCATGCGTCTCACCCACCGAGTACTTCGCTTCGTGGCCTTATAGGGAGCTCTGACGAAGGTCCAGTGGCGCAGCCCGCATGTGTCTCCCCCGCCAGTATAGCGTGACGTGGCCCCATAGGGAGCTCCACCGAAGGTTCCAGTGGCGCAGTCCGCGTGCGTCTCCCCCACCCAGTACACTGTTTCGTGGCCCTACAAGGGGGGCTCCACCGAACGTTCCAGTGCCGCAGTCCGCATGCGTCGCCCCCCGCAGACGATGCTTACAACTGCGGTATTCACAACTGCATATTGGGTCCTTCGCCAGGCTAATTTCAATGTGCCCCTGCTAATTTTTGCACATCAGACCATCATTAAGGCCCCCGTCACCACCGAAGAAAGATCCCAGGAAGCCTTCGAGGGGCCCAAATCATCGAGCACCTAAAGGAAGTTGATGATGTTGTGGTTTCCGCATTTCCCCTTCTATACGCTTCCGAGGCTTACGCAGGGACTCCAAGAAGGTCGTTTGATGCACAAGGCGCTCCAACAGTTGAGATTTCATGCGTTAGCCTGTCGAACCTAGCTAGAACTTGAGCGCTCGCGAAGCGCGCGCGATGGTTCTAGAATATATATATATATATATATATATATATATATATGTATATGTATATGCATATGTATGTATGAATGTCTATATGTCTATATCGTGTGTCTGTGCTGTATCTGTGTGTCTGTTCAGTGTGTGTGTGTGTTTGAGAAGAGATGGCACGAGAGAGAGGGATATCCAGAAACACACACACATATATCTATATATATATATATATATTGAGGGAGGGAGGGAAGGAGGGAGAGCGAGCGGGAGAAAGAAGAGAGAGAGAGAGAGAGAGCGAGAGAGAGAGAGAGACAGAGAGTACATGCTCTGTCATATGTATGTTCATGCCGAGAGAGAGAGAGATGTATAAACATTGAGAGACAGAGAGAGAGAGTCCGCTGTAACACAACGGCCGGTATGTGCAGGATCATACAACAAAGAAGAGATGGAGGGCGAGAGGGAGACATTCATACCTATTTTTACATACATGTGTACACGTGAATGGAGACACGTGTATGCTCAGTTTGTTTATAGGGAGGCAGGGGGAGAGCGCCAGTGAGGCAGCATTTTTTTATATATACATAGAGAGAGAGAGAGAACAGAGAAAGTGGGAAGTGAGATACCCCATCCTCAGGAGGAGGACGAGGGCATTGAAATAAGAAGGCTTGATGGTGATGAGGAGGAAAAGGAACAGGAGGAGGAAGAGGAGGAGGCGGGAGGGGAGTTGTTCCTTCAGAGCACTACAAGCGGGGCCCCCGTGGAGTATTGGAGGAGACTGTAGTGGGGAGCATGGGAGACCTTGGGGGGGGTAGCAGGGCGAGGAGGGCGACGCTGAGGTTGAGAAGGGCGGAGGAGGAGGAGGAGGAGGAGGTGGTGGTGGATGCCCGGCGGGGGGGGGCACCTCCAACGCTTGCCCCCCCACACACCCCATCTGCGGGCGCTGGCAGGTGACCCTGAAGGAGCAGGAGGTCACCCTGAAGACGGAGGACCAGGGCGGCCACGGGGGGGCGGTCGCGGGCCATGCCCTTTTTTCGGGTCGACGCTGAGCTCAGCTGGGGCAGGTCCACTCGGAGCCGATGGGGCTCCATCCCTAGACCCCCTCGGGACGTGGAACATCACGTCGGGACCTGGAAACATCACGTCGAGCGAACATCCTCGGGGCCCTTAACGGGCCTCGGGACCGTCAGAGCACGACTCGGCATGAAAAGCCGGTTCTAGGGATTGGGTCGAGATTTCTGAGGATCGCCACGCGGCTTGACTAGTGAATGCTCCACGCGGGCTGCAGAAAGAAGGGCCTCTGCATGCAACGTGCCGTCTATCCCCTGTCGATCGCTGGCGTGTCGGGCACGATTCGCGGCGGCGCCGTCCTCAGGAATGCCCGGACGGCGCCGGCGCGAAGCGTGCCGTGCCGAAAGGGGAGGAGGGGGAGGAGGAGGAGGAGGAGGAGGAGGGAGGAGGAGGAGGAGGAGGGAGGAGGAGGAGGAGGAGGAGGAGGAGGAGGAGGGGGGGGGATGCGCGGGCGGGCCCAGTCACGCGCGCCAATCCTCGCGAGTCAGGTCACAGTAAGATGGGCCCCGTGGCGTTCCACACGGGCTGAGGAAGCGAGGGCCGCTCTGGGCCAGATGCGGAGAAGCTCCGGGAGCGCATCCTGAGCCAAGCGCATCATGGCGTCATTATCTCCCTCCCTCCTCCTCGTCCTCCTCCTCCTCCTCCTCCTCCTCCTCCTCCTCCTCCTCCTCCTCCTCCTCCTCCTCCTCTCCTCCTCCTCCTCCTCCTCCCCCTGCATCTTCCGCACCCTCCGCGCGGCGGGTGCCGCGCTGCCGCTGCCGCATCGCGGCGGCGCCTGCCGCGCAGACGCCGAGGCGGGTGCAGGCCGAGGGCTATGCTCGCCCGCGGCGGCGGCCCACGGAAGGCGGGTGGAGGCAAAGCGGCGGCGGGGGCGGGGGCCGCCGAGAGGCCCGCGGGGGCAAGAGCGGGAGGCGTCGAGGTGTTTTGGACTTGGCGTGCTCAATACCGGCCGCTGGCATGGTACCTCCTCGGCCCTCCCGTCGGCTCGGCTCTCGACTCAGGCAGTGGCGAGGCGCGGCGACTTGCGTACAGGCCCACGACAGAATGCCCTGAGAGCCTGCGGATGTGTGCACGGCATGCCTGTGGAACAGTTCTGGTCGGGACAGTCACGTTTTGATGCAGTCACCCCGCATGGCAGCAAGGACGGGCAATTTTCCCAAGGGTACCCATGCATCCTTACCTCCTCGCTCCCCCCTTGGCCGCTTCCATTGGCCGCGCTCCGCTCGACACGCTTCGAAACGGCCTTCCAAGGCCCCTTGCATCCTCCTCGCGCGTCCCGAGGACACGGGTCGGCTGTCCTGGACGTCTGGCAGTCCAAGAGCATGCGCCGCGGGTGCTCTTGGCACACACCTTGGGAGCAGGTCGTGGGCGGCCTGGATGGACTGGCAGGGACGGGCGGCCTCCGCTCACCACCGACCCCCCCCTTTCTGCGTGGGGCCTGCTTCCCTTCAGGAGGGAAAGAAACACACAGACACAATTAATCGTCGATCCCCCAGAAAATATGGGAAAATATGGGAAGTGGGGGGGAAGACAGAAACCCAGAAAATATGGGAAAATATGGGGGATATGTTTATTTGTGTGTATTTATTTGTGTGTCCTAATTTCCCTTTAGCTTCCTTCTGGGGCGGGAGGCCAAAAATCATCGCCCCGGCAGCGCGAGGGCGCCGCCTCAAGGCGGGCGTCGGGCTCCGGGGCGCGAGCAGCGGATTCGGGCGAATGGGGTCCTCAATCGTGGGGGGGCAAAAGACCTACACCACCACCACCTCCCTCCCCCCCTCCCTCTCGCTGGGCAGGGGAGGAAGGAGGAAGCGGCGTGGTGGTGGTGTATTCTTTGGGCCCCCCAGATGGGGGTCTCAAAGGTGTGCGCAGTAGTTCGTGCAATCGTTCGTGGTGGACCGTGCCGGGTGCGGGCAGAACGCGTCGCATTCGGCATCGTTGGTCCGTGAGAGGGGCCACGAGCCATGAGCCACAGTATGATAAAGTATTGCATGTTTGTCTGGCGGCCCCATGGCGAAAGGCCCCCCCCCTTCGCCCAGAACCAAGAGAAGCGGGGAGGGGGGGGGAGAAAGGTGCACCTCTTAGGCCTAAAGGGGCCCGGAGGCAGTCCCCTGCGGCCCCACAGGGCCACGAACGGTGCACGTCTCTCCCCCTTTCAGGTCGGCGGGGATCGCTGGCCATGCCACACGGCACGTTGCTGGGTCTGCCACGGTGCCCGTCGGGCTCGGCCCCCCCCCCCGTTGCACACGACGCCCCCGCCCGTCCGCAGACGTGCGGTGTCTTGGAACTGGCGCTGGGGGCCGGGGGTGGCCCCGCACCGGTCCCAGCGAGCAGGGAAGGGCGGGGGCCAGGTTCGAGGCCTCGGACTCGAGATTGTCGTGTGTTTTGTTGTGTGGTTGGCCCAGTTCTGGTCCCAGGGCGGTCAGAAGCGGAGCCGCGGTGAAAACGTGCACCAGATGGACCCCGGGAAGGGTCCTTGGACGTACGTTGAGCGGGGTAGTCCTATCTCTTGGACAGATTTTGTCTCGGGGTCCATCTAGCTCAGATCCCGTGGCCGCTTCTAGGCAATTTCCTGATTTGTACATACGGGTCCGCTAGAAGCCCCGACCTAGATCACCCGCGACTTGAAATTTTCGGTAACGGATTGCGGGCGCGCCGAATGTCGGTCGCGGCCAGAGAGAGTCGAATTTCGGGAACAAAGATACGGAGCGTCGGGATCTAAGAGCGAAAGCTTCGAGGCCGTGTCGGCTCGTATTGTTATTGGAATCCGCGACTGGAGGGCGAATTTCGATCGCCACCGTGTTGTCTTGAGCGTTACCGAATGGGTAACGGGTGATCTGAAGGGGGACCTTCTCCCCAGACCCGTGTTCCTTCCCGCGGGTCGTTGTTTGTCGGTCCCGGGGCCCGGTGAGGCTTTGTCTGGCGGCCGAAAGCTATCAAAACAAACCGCCCGCCGTGCTTCTACTTACGCCACATCCATCGACCGCTGTGATTGCGAAGGCCTAACGGCCGGTGCCGCCGACCCTGAAGAGGACCACGACGTCGGCGACGAAGTGGGCGGAGACGGAGGCCGTGGAAGATGAGGAGGAGGAGGCGAGGAGGAGGGGGAGGAGGAGGAGGAGGAGGAGGGGGAGCAAACCGCCCGCCGTGCTTCTACTTGCGCCACGTCCGCCGACCGCTTTGAGTCCAAGCCCCAACATGGCGCCCGGGCATGGGGCGGAGCCCCCTTCATGAGTGCACCCGAGTGGGTCGTGCCGTGCCGGTCCCCCCCTTCCGTCGTAAATCCGCAGGTTGGGAGCCTCGGCAGGGGGAGGTCCCAGACCCCCGACGCCATGATCTCTGCATAGGTTCGACCCCCAGAAGTCTGAAGTCGGGCCTGTCCCTCTACAGGAGATAGATCCAAACATAGTTTAAAATAGTATTGGGACGATTTGACAATTGTTGAGTATTTGTTTAGACTATCTTATAGTTCTCCTCCAAAAACCGTCTGTAGGAGGACGTGCCCGACCTAACAGAAGTCTCGACCCCTTCCCAGGGACCGGTTTCTCATCCCGTGTCGTCTTTGTTGACGGTCCCGAGGCCCCGTACACGAGCCTCTGGAGGCCAACAAGAAAACTAAGGACTTCTCGTCGTGATGTTTTCGTGACCCAAGGGGGTTTGGGTAAGGGGGGCCATCCCTGACCTCCCAGAACGCCAACAAAATATAGCCCTCCAGACCTAGACTTGTCTGGACTGCGTAAAATCTCGCTTGGAATTCGGGCGTCGAGGACCTGGTGCTATTTTCAGCCCTCCTGGAAGGTCATGGATCTCACGCGCCACTGGAGATCCACAAGGGGTCGGCGGATCTCTTCACGACGCGGGCATGTCTGGGCCGTCGCGGGCCCACCACCTCGGCCGCGCGGCCCCCCCCTGCTGCCTTGGAGGAAGGCAAGACCACCGAGCTACTCCTCAAGGTGCAGGGCGAGAAGGCACGGCGGGGAGGGGAGCGTCGCAGGCGATATGTGTCTCCCAGCCCCCGAATCTATTTTCGACGGAAGAAATCACGACGGGAGTTTTTTCGCGATTCTGGGCCTCCCGACCTTCGACGGAACAAATCACGACGGGAGGTTTTTCGCTATTTTCGGCCACCCGGGGCCCTCGCCGGGCCCTGGGACCGTCAGAAAACGATTCGGGACGAGAAATTGGTCCCAGGGGGAAAGGGTGCAGATCGTTGGAGTTCGGCGTTGTGGGAAAGTCACGACGTCGGGGGTCTGGGGAGCGTCGCAGGCGATTTGTTCCTCCCAACCTCCGACTTGTTGAAGAACAAATGCCGCTCCGAAAAGGGGGGAAACCCTGGGATGCACCCCAATGGAAGCCATTCGGACGCATCCCTATCGAGGATGGTTGTCCCTCCATCGTATATCCCAGGGTTGGGCTCCAAAATTTTGGTCCATTCGAAAACCCCACGAAGCCTGGGATAGGGGTCGACATATCCCCAGACTCCCTCGCTTTGTGACAAAATTCACGACGGGAGGTCTAATGCTATTTTCGGCCTCCCGGGTGCCTCGCAGGGCCCCTGGATCGTCACGAGAAGGGGTGCAGATCTCTGGGGGTCGGCGTAACGAAAAAGTAACGACAATGGGGGTCTAGGGAGCATCGTAGGCGCTTTTTGTCCCCAACTCCTTCCGACCAATAACATGCCGCTCCGACATGGAGGGAAACCGTGGGATACCTTGAGGCTATCTGGACGCATCCTCGTCGAGGATCGACGCCCCCCCGTCGAATATCCCAGAGTTGGGCTCCAAATTCAGGAGGGGAAAAACACACACAGACACAATTAATCGTCCATTCCCTAGAAAACATTGGAAAATATGGGAAGTGGAGGGGAAGGCAAAAACCCAGAAAATATGCGAAAATATGGGGGATACTTTTATTTGTGTGTATTTATTTGTGTGTCCCAGTTCCCCTTCACTAATGTCTGATCCATTCGAAAACCCCACGAAGCCTGGGATAGGGGTCGACATATCCCCAGACCCCCTTGCGTTGTGGTGAAAATCACGACGGCTTGTCCGTTGCCGTTTTGGTTCGAGCCGTTTTGGCTCGAGCCAGATTGGCGCAACGCGTGATGGCTAGATTGATCACGCGTATTGGAAATGCGAACGCGGCCGCCCGAACGGAATACGTCGGTTTCGCTTGGAATCCGCCGAATAACACAGAACACAGAGTTGAACGAATTGTTGCAATTTCTACATGTTTCTGCGCTCCAGTTCTGGATTGACGAAGGCACGCAGGCTCGCGGGTCTGCGTGGAGGCCTGTGCCTTTCCGACAGCTACGAGGGCCAACATACTGTTCTTCTCTGGCAATGTGATAAAGGTCATCGGTGGAGGGCGCGCTATCGCAACGTCCGGGTTGGCAGTTGGTGCCCGCATTGTGCTGGCAAGATGCCGCTCAGCTTGAACCATGCCTCCCGCATCGCAGAATCCAGAGGTGGACTCTGTCTGTCAGCGTCGTACGTCAGTGTCCACGGTCTGTTACATTGGAGGTGCGCCGTCGGCCACGAGTGGTTCGCATCTCTTTGCAACGTTAAGGGTAAAGGGTCATGGTGTCCGCATTGTGCCTGCACGGCCCCCCTTGGCATTGCGAGCGCGAAGCTTTTGGCCGCTATGCGGGGAGGCTGGTGTCTGTCAGAGGACTATTCAAACGTTCGGTCGCAGTTGCGCTGGCAGTGTGTTGAAGGCCACACTTGGCTTGCAACGCTCAAGGCAGTTAAGTATCAGAAGTCATGGTGCCCCATGTGCTTCAGCAAGCGGCGGGATGCGCACCGCGCAAACATGCTTAATATCGCCAACGTCGTTGCGACAGCCCGAGGTGGCTATTGCTTGACTCAGGCTTACCATAATAATCAAACGCGCATGCTTTGGCAATGCCGGCATGGCCATACATGGGAAGCTACGTTGAACAATGTCAAGGACGCGAAGAGTTGGTGTCCTTTCTGCGTGGCGCGCAAGACTGAGCAGTCCATAAGGGTTCTGATGGAAACTATTTTCCCAGGGCAGTCGTTCAGAACGCGGAGACCTGCTTTTTTGATGGGTCCGAAAGGCTGGCCACTTGAGTTGGACGGCTATTGCGAAACTTTAAATCTGGCATTTGAATACAATGGGGAGCAACACTACAATCCACAGTCCTACTGGCATCGTGGCGACACGAATGCCTTTACAAGTCTACGCCAGCGAGATCACTTGAAGGTATCTTTGTGCGCAGCTTTTGGAGTTCGTCTGCTTGTCATCCCGTGGGCAGTCACAAACCACCGGCTGTTCCTTCATATCGCACTGTTGCGTTGGTTCAAGATCTCAGACATTAACCGAGTGTCTGTGGCAACCTCGTAGATTGCCTGATGCATACGAGCACGCTCGGGCGGCACAGGTGGCTTCTGCACAAAAGGGGCCGATAACATATCTACCATCAGAGCCTGCTCTAAGTCGTAATAAGGCTGCCCGCTAAGAGGTCAGGCATTGATTGATCTTGTAGTCTGCACGCTGTCAGGCGACCTGTCCACCGAACCCGTTGGGGAGCAGTTTGCCTCGTTGTTCGTCCCACGCGTTCGGCACATGGTTTGAAAGATTTTCCGTCAATCAGCAGCTCGCGGTATTGGCAACATGTAGAAAAGGAGCAACAAAAATGACGGTAGGTGTTTCCCTCTTTTCGGTCTTCTGGGGGCCCTCGCCGGGCCCCGGGACCGTCAGAACACGATTCGCGACGAGACAGAGGTCCCAGGGGAAGGGGTGCAGATCTCCGCGGGTCGGCGAAGTGACAAAGTCACGACGTTGGAGGTCCGGGGAGCGTCGCAGGCGAATCTTCTCCCCAAGCCCCCGACTACGACGAAAAAAAAGACGACCGGAAAGGATCGAAACCGTGGGATACGCCCCAACGGAGGCTATTTGGACGCCTCCCCATCGAGGATGGACGCCCCCATCGTATATCCCAGGGTTGGGCTTCAAATTTTTGATCCCTTCGACAACCCAATGGATTCTGGGATAGGGGTCGACATATCCCCAGACCCCCCTCGCACTGTGGCAAAAATCACGACGAGAGGTTTTTTCTCGTATTTTCGGCGTTCGGGGGCCTTCGCCGGGCCCCGGGACCGTCAGAAAGCGATCCGGGACGAGAAACAGGTCCCAGGGGCAAGGTGTGCAGATCTCTGAAGTTCGGCGTTGTGACAAAGTCACGACGTCGGGGGTCTGGGGGGCGGGGGGCGACGGAAACCTTGAGATATGGGCGTTGCAATTTTTCCACACCGGGTTTGGCTGCACCACAGCGTACTCACAAATGCCTGTACGACCGTCCTTGGGGTGATAAGGATGCGTGGGGGCGAAAGGGCCGAATATCGATCTCACTAGCGATCCTCAATATCGATCTCACTAGCGATGCTGGAAGGCATCTGAACACGATCGGCGCACCATCGGGGTACCATCACACCATCGATACACCATGGGGACACCATCTTGACAACATCGGGACACCATCGGGCCACCACGGGACACCGTCGGGACACCATCGGGACACCACAAAAACACCAGGACACCAGTGGGATATCAATCGAGACACCAACCAGGACACCACCAGCACACCATCCAGACACCATCGGGACACCACCAGGATCGGGACACCAATCGGGGCACCGATCGGGACACCATCGAGACACCATCGAGACACCACCAGCACACCATGGGGACACCAATCGGGTCACTGCGGGAAGCCACAGGACACCGGGGGACACCACGGGGCACCACCGGGACATCACGGCGGGACCCTCCGCGGCCGCAGCCCGCAGCGCGGCCGGGGGGGGAGGGCGGACTCCTGTCTTCGCCGCGTGCTGGCCAGAGGAGGGTTCATTCCTCTCGCCCGCCCACGCAGCCTCGCCTCGCCCGCACGCACGATTTGAGTCCGAAGCCGAAACCGATTTCCTGGTGGGGGGCTCTCCGTTCCACGTCGACCTCATCCGACAATGTGTGCGCCGCTCCTCCAGGGGCGACGCGCGCACAAGCTCCGTGGCGGGCGCTTTCTGGCTGTCTTCGCCCAGCTTCGGGCCCAGGAACAACCACAGGTCGGCTCGACGAATGCCGCAGAAAGATGGGGCCCAGGGCTCTGGTCGTGGTTCTGTCGGCGATGTTGCCATGGTTTGGCGACGCCGGGTCTCAGGGAGGGAGAGGGGGCGGGGGCGAGAGAGATGGGGGAACGGTTCGAGCAGTGAGGCTGTGAATCGTCTTGTCTTATCTCTGTCTCTCTCTCTCTCTCTTTAACCGCGGAGGGTCTTGAATGATGGGCGGGCCCTCCCCTCCTGAGCTGTTTGCCAGGAGTGGTCATCCCTCCCCTCCTCGCCCTGCTCCTCGCTCTGCCTCCTCGCCCTCCTCCTCGTGCTCCCCTCCTCGCCCTCCACCTCGTCCTCCCTCTCCTCGTCCCGGCCCTCTGTCGCCTCGCCCCGGAAAAAAGCGCCCAGAGGCCGTCGGAGGCCTACTCCCCCAGGGACCTCCAGCGGCTTCCGGGGACGGAGGGTCGGAGACGGGGAGGACGCAGGTCGCCCGAGAGGGAGGAGGGGAGGGGAAGCAGGCGGCGAAAGGGCCCCCAGGCACACCGTGAGAGTTCGGGGGCTCCTGCTGCTGCCACGGTGGTGCCCTCGGGCTCGAAACAGACGGCGGCGAGCGAGGGGGGGAGCGGAGAAGGGGCGGGCCTTCTCAGAAGGCTCGGAAGGCCCCTGGCCTTCGGAGCAGTTTTCCGAGCTGCCTCCGAAGGCAGCAGCAGCCTCTCGTGAGGTCGGAGGCCTCCCGAGAAGCCGCGCCGCCCTCCGAGAGGGCCTTCGGCCTTCTCCTGCTCACTTCCCTTCCTCCCCGGGTGAGCCGCCGACAGCGGTCAAGACCCTGGGCTCCAGGCCTCGGGACCGCGGGACGACCGCCCTCCTGCAGAGGCCCGGTCTGACACGAGCAAGGGGGTCGTCGGGGGTCCCCAGACGGGGCGGTGACCACACCGTGCGGTGAGTCGGTGGGGATTCGGGGTCACCGCACGGTTTTGGGACTCGGGTCGTCCTCCGAGGACGTCTCGGGCGACGGGGGCCTCCAGGGTCCCAAGACCGTGCGGTGACGGACCGTGCGGTGAGGCCTTGGGGGATCTCGAGGCCACCGCACGGTCCGTCACCGCACCGTTTCGGGACTCCAAGGGGAGGGAATCACGACGATGGCGACGACGATGGCGACGACGGCGACGACGACGACGACGACGACGGCCGTCCTCGGCAGGCCAAGGCGGACAAGAAGGCGGAGGTGGTCAACGGGCAGAAGGCCGACTGCAAGGCCGAGGCGGAGAAGATCGACGCGGAGAAGCAGGCGGCGCAGCAGGCGACGCGCCCGCCTCGCCCCCTGCGCCCTTTGGGGGGGGAGGAGGAGGAGGAGGAGGAGGAGGAGGAGGAGGAGGAGGAGGAGGAGGAGGAGAAGGAGAAGGAGGAGGAGGAGGAGGCTGTCTCGGGGCCATCTTGTGCCCTCCAGCGCCTGGAGCGGCGGAGGGCCCGCGAGGCTGTGACCCGGCGCCGGAGAGTCCTTGCGAGCGTTTTGACGGAGTGAGCCCGCACGGCGCACGCCGCAGGCAGGAGCGGCCAGCCCAGGAAAGGTTCTCGGGAGGTCCTCTTCCATCGCGGGGCGGGCAGCGGGCTGGGCCGTCGTCGGCGCCGTGGGGGGGGAGGTGGGGCCCAGCCCGAGGAGGCTCGAGGAGGAGCACGGTCGGGCCGAGACATGAGGTCGAGGTCGCCTCGGGGAGGGTGCCCTGATGCCCAATGCTCTCCGTGCTTGTGGGATGCTCCTGTGCATCCTGGTGGGGGAGCGTACCCTCGAATGTTCTTCAGCTTGGCCTGCGGAGGGCCTGACTTTCTGGCCGGATGTGGTCTGTCTTAGGTCCGGCCGCAGCGAAGGGAAGAGCAGCACAGTAGGCGAGTCAGGCGAAACAGCGGCCTGCCAGCAGATGCTAGATGGAAATTCTTAACGCTTCGCGTAGTTTTGTGCGTATTCTCTCTCTCTCTCTCTCTCTTTCTCTCTCCTTCTCTCTTTTGCACGCTGGGGCTCGATTTTGGGATAAGGTCTCATGCGAAACTCCCTTTATCTAAGCATAGTGATCAAAGAGGGCTCGATTGTCTGAGCATTACCAGGCGAAGCTGCATTTCTCGAAACTGCATGAAACACCATTGAGTTGTTGACAGCGTTTTTGTTAAAGTGCGTGGGTTTCTCTGTGCGTTTGGATTGAGAGTTGATATGCGTGAGGGGCGCGTTAGTTGTTTTTTAATGTTGAGGATGCCCCGAGCGAAACTGCCAGAGCAAAAAAACACGTCTTCGAAATTCATCGCTTCTGAGCTTTGCTTCCCCAGGGAAGCGCCTGTGATAATATTAAGCATATGTGTGCGAGCATATCTCTATATATATGTGTACACATAAGTAGATGCATACGCACATGTATAGAGAGAGATAGATAGTCATGCTCGAATTCATGTTCGTACGCTTACTCATAGTCATTCGCGTATATTCATGTTGCATACATGTCTGACTGCGTACGTATATACATTCATGTACACATACACATATCGATCATAAACCTGCTTGCGGCATATTCACGAATTGAGGATGACCCTTTCCGAAGTAGGGGTTGGCGTTTGCGTTTTTTCCCCGCTTTCATCTCCAGGGGCTCAACTATGTGAGTAGTTTCGTTGTACGGTGTTTTGTTTGAAACGTGGCTTTCGCTTGCAGCCTCCAGGTTTCGGATGGAGGGCGGCAATTGTTCCCAACCGGTTTCTCGCTGGACACCTATCTCTATGATGGGCACCACCTAATCGTGATGCCGATCTTAAGGATTCCCTCAGTCTCCCAGGGCGAGTTCGTAAGATTGTCATCTCGCTTGTACTTGTCAGTCTTAGGGCTTTTTGTTCGATTCCTCCGACTCGATTCGGTTCAATGTCGATGGCTTCCAATTCCGATTCGGTTCGACCTCAGATTCCGATCTGGATTCCGACCTCTCCATCAAAGGCCGGCTGGCCTGCCGATTTCTGTCGATGTTCGATTTCCCCCGACTCGGCCGCCCATTTTCGGCGGATCCGTTTGGTTTCGACCGCCGCTCTGATTGATCGGTGCGATGCAGTGTCGTTCCGATCCGATTCGGTCGGTCGATCCGATTGGATCGATCCGATGCGAGTTCGACCTGCTCGATCTGGTTGTTTTTTTGCAGGGGCAGGGGCACGGGCCGAGACGAAGCACTCCTCCATGGCCTGGCGGGGGCGCGGGGGGGCGCGGAGGCCGCCGCCGCGCGGCGCGCCTTCGCGCCGCCCCGCGCGGAGCGGGGCGGCGCACGCGCAGCCGACTGGTGCGCTGGGCGGAGAAGCCGACGGGGCTTCTCCCGGGTCGAGAGCGCCGCTGTCGGACGAGAAGCGAACATCGCTACACCTTAGGCGATGTCTAAGGATACCTAAGTTTTCGGCCAGAGTCTTGATTATTCTTAACTTTTCAATGTAAATCCCAAGATTTTGATAGAAGTTCTGGGTTTTTATTCCAGTTCTGAGACTCTGAATTTCTTAACCCATGGTTTCTTAAGCATTTCGCAGGGTGTACGGTAGAGGGAAACAATTACTGAACACTCCCCCTCCCCTCCAAAACTCAGTGTTGGCACGCGCGGGGGAGACTGCGGTCGAAGTGCACCTCATCAGACCCACCGCCAACTCTGAACGGGAGGGGGAGGCGTTGAGGGATGAATGTGGCATGCGTTCGCTCATTTGTTCCGAGGCCTGTGCCCACTAAACTCAGCGGCGAGCGAGGGAGGGAAACACGAGAGGGAGGAGGCCTGCTCAGAAGGCGGCGGGGCTTCTCAGAAGCCCTCGCACCCCCTGAGAAGTTTTCTGTGTCTTCGGGGAAGGCTTAGAAAATTTCTCAGAAGGCCCGGGGACTTCCGAGCCTTCTGAGAAGGCCCGCCCCTTCTCACTTCCCCCCTCGCTCGCCGCCTAATTGCACTACCCACCAAACCACCCCAACCCTACCCGAAGGCCTCAATTTGCCCTCCATTTCCAGTGTGGGGGGGTGGGAAAATCAAACAAAAACACGTATGGAACCCGTATCCCCCCCCCCCCTAACCCGAACTTCGGGTCTTCGGGTCGGGTTGGGGTGGTCTGGCTGGTAGGTGCTCAGAACACTCCAGGCGCTGAGAGAAGGACCACCTGCGGCTCTGGAGGTGCTCTGGTTTTCGGGCCGCTTCTTCGATCAAGTAAGGTCGTGGAACCCATTCAGGGCCGATGCGCACCGTGGCCAGAAAAATCTGTTTGTTCTTCAGTTAGGCGGTCCTTCAGGTAGCACGAGGACTGTACGCACACACGTGTTGCACATGGAAGCCAGCTGGGGTCCGAGGTGGCCCAGTATGGGTTCCGGCGAGCAGAGAGGAGGGGGGCCAGGTTCGAGGTTTTGCGTCCGAGAAGGCTTTCGCCTTGTGCAGTCCCCGGGGGCAGCTTTCGGGTCCCGGGCCCGTCAGCAGCGGCGCCGGGGTGAAACATGGCACCAGTAGACCCCGGGAGGGGTCCGGGGACAGACTCTGAGCGGATTTGCCAGTCACCCCCCTTCTTGACTGATGTTCTCGAGGTCCATCCAGTCCAGACCCCCCGAGCGTGTCCAACTTGCACGTGAGGCTCTGGAGGTCGGAAGGCGCCGTGGCACGAAGGGGTGTGGTGCCAATGATGGAAATGGCGACGTTTATCTGCGATTGATGACCTCGCCAGATGCAGCATTGGCACCACACCCCTGGGCTGCCGCCTAGATAGCGGCTGAGGGTCCTGGGTCCTGGCTGAAACCGATCTGGGGCCCTCGAGTTTTGGATTTTTATTCGATGTAGAGTGGGTTCGGGCGACTTGGACTCACCTTCTACTGGCGTCCTCCTGCCCCCTGAGAGGCTTCCTTCGCCCGCCCCCGCGCGCGCAGCGGCGGGCCCACACGTGGGCAGCAGGCACGGGCTCGGAGGGCCGCACCGCGCCTCACGCTTTCCAGGCGCTCCACACCATTCATACACAGTCGTGGCACAAGTTTCCTCAGCTTGCCATGGCGAGTATATATATATATATATATATATATATATATATATACATATACATATATATACACATATATACATGTATAGCCCATCCCTTCGCAGATTCCAGACGTCGTGGTGGTGGCGCGGTTCGGCGGAGCAGTTTCCGATCCAACCTGATGTTTGTCAGTCTGTCACCACCGGGCGGGATCGGAAACTGCTCCACGCCACAGCCCGAGAAGCATCGAGCAGGACGCGCCCGCACGCGGAGCAGTTGGAGCACCTCTTGCGCCGAGCCGTTCCGCCCTGCTGCGCTCTTGGCGAAGGTCGAGTGAAAGGAGCTCTCGCCACGGCGATGTACACGACGCAGTGCACACATGTCCCTGTAGACTGACAGACACACGGGCAGACAGTGTAGTAATTGGCCGTCGCGCGTGCACGTCACTTTCTGCGCGAGGATTCTGAGCGGCATGCGCAGGAAGCACGACTGCGCGGGTCATCGTGGTCATGACAGTGGTTTCCTGTTCCGTAGTTTGTGTGGTCCAAGTTTGCTGGTTCAAGAGGGAAGCACCATTAAATTCCCTGTGAGCGCTCGTGCTCCAGGTGCGCAGACTGTGCAGCTCAGGGTGGTCGATGGCCACGGGTTATGATTCAAGATGTTGCATTGCATTGCATGATGATGGCAGTCGTATCTCGAAGATTGGTCACTCTCTTGGCACATCTGTTGCCACAGCTGCTCCTCTAGAGTTGAGGGCGTTGCTGAGAATGGCTGGCGAGGGACTCACCGTGATCCCTGACACCAAGCACCTCTGCAAACGCCCTTTCTGTTTCAATGCCACGCCCAGGACAATGCAGTTGCTTGGTGATCGCGCTGTTTCTACTGACGTGTTCCAGGTTTTGCGTTCGGCGTCGTCTGTCGCAGAACTTTGTGCTTGCGGGCCTATTTCCTTTGATGACGGTTCGAAATCTTGGGCGTTATTTCTACATGTGTTCGGGTTCTTGTCCCAAAGGCAACGAAGAGACTTACGCGACTGCGTAATCAAGGATTGCCTTCCCCACTTGATGCATGACCGCATCACCCGAGTCTCCAGGAAGGCTTGTCCTTCTCGCAATGGGCATTTCGCACTGCTCGTGATAGCTCAAGATGATACCGTGCAGGAGATTTACCTGACACGGTTGCTGAATGGTGAGCTTGTTGTTGCGCTCGATGAGTTGCGTGTTGCCCACCATCCAGAAACAGGACTTAAGCGGTTAACACCATTGAAACCAGAGATGGCTTTACTTATGTTGAATTTAGATCAGGTCGACGGCTATTCATTTGTGCTGGACCCCTTTGCAGGGTCGTGCTCTGCCTTTCTTCCAGGAGGCCTCTGTGGGTCTCCAGTGTGTTTTGGTATGGACGTGAACCTCGCTAGTCTGGCCGGTGCTAAGTGTGCTGAGCGCTGTTCTGACCATCAGGCAATCGCTGCTGGTGCTGCCGACTGCAGTGTGAACGGGGTAAGACTGAGCCTGGTCGGAGCGAACATTTTTGCCTCTCCTTTGCGACGTGGGGGGGACGGCCTTTTTGACTGCATCATTTGCGACCCCCCATATGGCCTCCGCGAGAAGCGTCGGAACGGCTCGGGGGGTATAGACGACCCTCTTGATACATCGAGAGACTTGCTCGCTGCTGTCCGTTCGGTCCTGGAGCCCGCTCTGCAGCTTGCTGTTACGTCTCTGAGCAGCGGTGGCCACATCGTTTTCCTTTTCCCGTCCTTCGTGGGCCTTGACGTTTTCAGGGCGCTTCGGCTCGACGAATGGGAGCCCTCGCTGCACCTGGAGGCATGCTTTTCGCAGCAGTTCAAAACCTTCCTCAGATTCTGCGTGTGCCTGGTGAAGTGCGGGCCAGCGTGTGGATGAGACGGGCCCTCTGGGTCGTATACCATGCTGCGCACAACCATGGGCTTCATCTAGCGGGTGCCAAGGAATTTTGAGGCGGGGCATTCCTTATGTATGCAGAAGGACCAAAAGCTCGCGTGCCATCTCAATTCTACAGTACCTCCTCTTTGACATCTTGTCATGCTTCCTCATGCAGTAGCTACCACGTCTTCGAGGATCGCGTTTGTAGTGTGTTGTGATGCGCGATGTTTTGATATTGTGTGTGTGTGTTTGTGTGTGTGTGTGTGTGTCTGTATGTGCGTGTTCTGCCATGGCCTGTGGTTATCTACTGTGCTTCGCGGCACTAAGTCTAGTCAGGCTGGGGTTTCACAGAGCAGTCGAAATTGTGGGTTCTCGTGGAGTGGCGAGGTGCCGCATCGAGGCCGTCCTAGGCCCGTTGGGCTTTCTGGGGCGTTTTTAAAATTCAGCAGGGCCTTCGCGTGCACTCGTCGGGGGAGGCTGGGACCAGGATAAATCCGTTCCAGGGCGTTCCGGAACGCTCTCGGAGCGGGTCGGAACGCTGTGAGGAGGCTGCGGCGCCCGACACGGCCTCTGGGGCCGCTGGATCTCATAGGTTCCCGCTATATATCCTCATCCGCATGTGTCCTCGTCTGGCTTCGTCTTGGCGCGGTGGCATCCCCATGGGAGTATTTGGGCAGCTTTGGGCTGCCTGGACGGTGAGGCGCGTCATCGGAGGTCGGTGGTCCTCTGCGCTTCGGGCCCGGCTGACATTGAGTCGGACATGTCCTCCTGCAGGAGGAATTGTAAACAATAGTCAAGGAATAGTCTGGGACGATTGTTCGACTGTTTTTGATTATGTGTGAGTCTGTTGTGACAATTATTCAATTTTCTTCCAGCATCCGCCTGTAGGAGGACATGATCGACCTAAGGCTAGAAAGTAGTAACAGGAGGACTGGACTGCGGATAGACAGCGACGGAAATTTTGAACACTGCAGACAGCACGATGCTCGAGAGCCAGAGTGTAGAGTGGGATGCTTCTTGCGTGTTCGGTGGGGTTCTGTCGGTGCCTTTCGGGAGGAGACGACGGGCGGAGTGAGAGATAGGGAGACCGCGCAATAAGGTCGGAGCTGGGGAAGAGAGGAGGAGGTGGTGGAGGAGGAGGAGGAGGAGGAGGACGAGGAGGAGGAGGAGGCAAGCCACAGGGTGCAGCGGATCTAGTGGCCTTAGGCCAACCTTGCCACCGGGCTTGGGTTGTGGGTCATAGGCCGCTTGGACGCCTACGGGGGTCTTCAGGGAAGCCCTGGCTTGCATCTTGGAAGCAGTCTGTGAGCCTCTTGGGGGCTGTTTTGGGGCTCCTCGGGGTCTCCTTGTGGCCGCTTGGGAAGCTCTTGGGGCATCCTTGGGGCTTCCTGGAGGCCTGCTGGTGGCCTCGGGGGTCCCAGCCAGGGCGGATGGAATTTGACATGTCAGTTGGAGCTCCCCCGTTCTGGGCCCCTCCCCGGCCTGCTGGTGCTTTCATAGGGGGCTTTGGCCGTCTTCCACGCTGCTGGCACAGAGAAAACACCAAATATGTTTAAGACATACCCGCCGGTCGTTGGAAGTAGGTATTTTGGGATTCCCAGATGCCAATCTACTTCAAGCGCCTTCCTACTTCAAGAATCGGCACGCTTCTGCTGTGCTTTGTGATTCCCTGGGGGGGCCTGAACCCAATCTACTATATCCGCCTTCCTACTTCCTGTTTTTACCTACTTCTTCCGACCGACGTGTACGTGTTCCACACAGGCGGAGTGGGGGGGGGGGCAGGAGGACAAGGAGGGGTAGAAAACAGAGGAAGAGGGCGGGAGAGGAGAGGGGGAAAAGATTGGCGATGGGAGTTGTCCCTCCCCCCTCGTCTCCTGGTTCTCCTCTTTCCCCTGCGCCTCTCCTTGTCGTCCTCTCCCGCCTCCCCCTGAAAAATGATATTGTCCAGAAGCTCAAAGGATTCCAGCCGTGGCGACATGCCTTCCCAGGAGGTCTAGCGAGGGCAAACAACGCAAACGATTCTCCAGCTCCTCAGGGGAATACCTCTTTCCTACGAGGACCGCTCAAAACTCACCTCCTGGCCCCTTTTCTGGGCGCCATCCTGATACGTTTTGATCGTTGTGTCCACCGAAGGCGACGAGAGTGGTCCTGAGGGTTTTAACATGGGATGCTGAGGGACAGAGGAGGAGGAGGAGGAGGAGGAGGAGGAGGAGGAGGAGGAGGAGGAAGTGAGGAGGAGCAGGAGGAGCAGGAGGAGCAGGAGCAGGAGGAGGAGGAGGAAGAGGAGGAGGAGGAGGAGGAGGAGGAGTAGGAGGAGGAGGAGGAGGAGGAGATGGAGGCCCCCCCACACTCCTTTCCCTCGCACTGGCAGTTTTGGGCCGAGCGCGCCGTAAGACTCGCCCAGGCCGCGCTTCTGGCGCGCCTCTGCCAGGCCCGCCCGCGCTCTCGGAGCGAAGCGGCGGGCGATGGCTGCCAAGAAGAGGAAGGCGCTCCGGGGCTCCGCGGAGGATCGGGATTCCGAAAGCCCCGCCGCGAGCGCGCGAGGATGCCGCGCCGTGTGCCTTGCTGCTGCCCACGCGGAGTGCCCGGACGGCTTCGGTCCTCTCTCAGCGCCTGCTTCCTTGGGTGGGGCGCCTCGCGGGGCGCCTCCGGGAGGCCGGTTTCTGTTGGGGCGGTCTGGCGACGAGCAGGGCTGTCGGGCCCGCCCGCCCCCCTTCCCCCCGGGTACTGGTGCGCACGGGCAGACGTAGGGCTGGCCAAAGAGAAGGCTGTCGGCCGCCCCTGGAAGTGAGCACGGAGAAGTTTGGGCACACAGGACCCCCGGAAGTGAGCTTCCTCCTCCTCCTCCTCCTCCTCCTCCTCCTCCCTCCTCCTCCTCCTCCTCCTCCTCCTCCTCCTCCTCCTCCTCCTCCTCCTCCTCCCCTCCTCCTCCTCCTCCTCCTCCTCCTCCTCTCCTCCTCCTCCTCCTCATCCTCCTCCTCCTCCTCCCTCCCCCCTCCTCCCCTCCTCCCTCCTCCTCCTCCTCCTCCTCCTCCTCCTCCTCCTCCTCCTCCTCCTCCTCCTCCCCTCCTCCTCCTCCTCCTCCTCCTCCTCCTCCTCCCTCCTCCCCCCGCCCACCTGATACTCCAGGCCATCGCCGAAAAACTCGGGGGTAGATAGATCTCCTATCCTGGCACGCCGATTCAGGAACTGGCCGTTTCGGTTCGCGAGAGGGCGTCACGGCCGTGACTTTTGCGGGTCCGGGTCCGTCGGTTTCGGTCCCAGGCCGTTTTCACTAAAGGGAGGTTTGCTAAAGGGAGGAGTGCCCACCGCCGAAAAATTCGGGCGAAGAGAACTATGCACATGCACCGATCCTGGCAAGGTCCATCCTTGACCCAGGACCGGTGCACATGCTTTCCTGGCCAATGTAGGAGGGCGTATGCACCGATCCTGGGCTCAGGAGGGGCCTGGCCAGAGTCGGTGTATGTGCATAGCTTTTTTTCATCCAAAATTGAAGGTTCTCTCCAGGGTGCCTCGGGAACCTTCGGGGAGGAGGAGAGAGGAGGAGAGGAGGAGGAGGAGGAGGAGGAGGAGGAGGAGGAGGAGGAGGAGGAGGAGGAGGAGGAGGAGGAGGAGGAGATTGAGGAGGAGGAGGAGGAGGAGGAGGAGGAGGAGGAGGAGGGAGGAGGAGGGAGGAGGGAGGAGGGAGAGGGAGGAGGGAGGAGGGAGGAGGGAGGAGGGGGAGGAGGGAGGAGGGAGGAGGGGAGGAGGGAGGAGGGAGGAGGAGGAGGGAGGAGGAGGAGGGAGGAGAGGAGGGAGGAGGGAGGGGGAGGAGGGAGGAGGGAGGAGGGAGGAGGGAGGAGGGAGGAGGGAGGAGGGAGGAGGAGGAGGGAGGAGAGGAGGGAGAGGAGGAGGGGGAGGAGGGGAGGGAGGAGGGAGGAGGGAGGAGGGAGGAGGGAGGAGGGAGGAGGGAGGAGGAGGGAGGAGGGAGGAGGGAGGAGGAGGGAGGAGGGAGGAGGGAGGAGGGAGGAGGAGGAGGGAGGAGGGAGGAGGGAGGGAGGAGGAGGAGGAGGGAGGAGGGAGGGAGGAGGGAGGAGGGAGGAGGGAGGAGGGAGGAGGGAGGAGGGAGGAGGGAGGAGGAGGAGGAGGAGGAGGAGGAGGAGGAGGAGGAGGAGGAGGAGGAGGAGGAGAGGAAGACCTCGGAGCGGCCACGGGCGGCCCGCCGGTTGGAGACCTCGAAGAGACCACCGCCGCAAAGTGCATAAGGTTCTCTCCAGGGTGCCTCGGGAAGCTTCGGGGACCTCGGGGGGCCCCTCGTGGTCCCAGGCCTCTCTCTCTCTGCAGGCCGTCGGGCGGTCCTTCTCCGGGCGGCGGCGCAGGGCAGCAGAGGCCACCGCGCGGCGCGCCTCGCGCAGCGCAGGGCGCGAGGGTCCGCGGACCTGCGCAGGAAAGTCAGATAAGGAAAAGGTGCGTACGCCGCTGCCCTCCAGTCGTGCTCGCCTTTTGGGGCCTCCCGGGAGGCCCTCGCCGCCACGGCCAGGTTCGCCTCGGAAATCCGGTCAGAGCGCACCCCGGGAGAGGCCCGGGCAACGGCGGTATCGGTAGCCTTGGGCTTCCCCCAGGCACTCAGGAGGGGAAAAGACACACAGACACAATTAATCGGCGATTCCCAGAAAATATGGGAAAATACAGGAAGTGGGGGGGGAAGACAGAAACCCAGAAAATATGGGAAAATATGGGGGATATTTTTATTTGTGTGTGCACCCTAGGCGATGCTTGAGAAGACCTAAGTTTTCGTCCAGAGTCTCGATTATTCTTAACGTTTCAATGTAAATCTCAAGATTTCAATAGAAATGTTGGGTTTTTATTCAAGTTCTGAGACTATGAATTTCTTAACCCATGATTTCTTAAGCATTTCGCAGGGTGTATTTATTTGTGTGTCCCAGTTCCCCTTCAGGCACGTCAGCGAGTGAACCTCGACGCTCTCCCCTCGTTTTTGTTGTGCAGTGCTGCGTCTCGCCGCGGCGCCCGTGGCCGGCGCGGGCGGCCAGCGTCGCAGACCCTCCGGGGGGCCAGCGGAGGCTCCGTGGCCGACGGGAGCGGGCCGCAGCGAGAGGAGGCACTGCGGAAGGCTCGGTCGACGGCCTCACCCAGACCCCCTCGAGTCATGAAAAAATCACGACGACAGGTTTTTCGCTATTTTCTGCCTCCGGGGGCCCTTACCGGCCCTCAGGACCGTCAAGAAACGACTCAGGATGAAAAGCCGGTCCTGGGGAATGGGTTTGGACCTCTGGGGGCCGCGTCATGAAAAAATCATGACGTCGGGGGTCTGGGCACGGGGCCTCCCAGGGCGGAGGTCGTTGAAGATGGGACGGTGGACGCGGTGTCAGAGAACGGGGCGGCCCACATCGTGTGAGGCTGGCACCAGCCATGCCATGCCGGGGGCGTTGCTCAGGGGGGGGATTCGCCGCATTCCATCGCCCAGGGGGGTTGGAATGCCGCCCCTGCGTGGATCGCTCCCGCCGACGTTCCCCCGAAAGGAGAAGCTTAGGCGGAGGAGTTTCTCGTAGGCAGGTCCTGGATCGCCCGGGGGGGGGTCCAGGACGGAACGACTAGATTCTTTCGTTTGAGCATGCCAGCTTGAGGCCCGTCAAATATGGGTTGGGAGCGGGGTCCCCCAAAGCGTGCAAAACATATGTTATCTCGAACGCAGGTGCGTCGTGGGACAGGTTATGATCAGATGGAACCTCTGGGAAACCAGCTCCGTCCCCACGATTGGCGCATTGTTCGAGGCTCGGGTGGCTCCTTGGCTCTTGCGTGGACAGCCGTGCCCGAGGGCAGAGCAGGTTTGCCACGCAAATTCGACGGGGGGATGGCATTGTGCACAGTCCGAAGGACATGGAGACGGAAGCTGTGTTAGGAGAAGGGAGGGGAGGGGGGCTGGAGCGCACAGAGAGGGGACGAGGCAGGAGGGTGAGGGACGAGGCAGGGTGGATGTCGGCGGAGGGGGAACAAAAACACCAGAGTAGGGGGATGAGGACTGATGAGGGGCTGGACGGGGAGAAGTCAGGCGTCGAAATCCATACTTCTCCACTGCTCCCTGGCCAGGCCCATCCTGAACCCAGGAGCTGTGTATAGGCCCTCCTGGCCAAGCCGCCAGGAGGTCGTGGCGTATACACCGCTGCTGGGTTCAGGATGGGCCTGGCCAGGGAGCAGTGGAGACGTGTCGATCTCGTCGCCCTAAGGAGGGGAGAGGACTGCGGCCGCGAAGTCCGCCGCCGTCCTCCTTCCCTGCGGCGCCTGGCGCGCTCCCCGACGCGAGGGGGGGGGCGCGCCGCGCTGGTGCCCCGGGGTGCCACTGGAAATGAAAGGCGGCTGCATGCCGTGGATACCCCTCTCCCCCCCCCCCCTTTCGTTTTGCGGCAAAGGACCACGAGGAGTCCCCGCTCGCCCATGCCCGGCCCCCCCCTGTCCACGCCGCCGTTTTTTTTGTTGGCCCCTTCCGGCGCCTCACTTGCGCCGCGGTATATATATATATATATATATAGTCGCAAGTGCGTACGGCTGGGTCGGTTCTATCGGAAAATGTGCCCAGGTTTCGTGGCCGCCCGTGTCACACATGTAGCCAGTTGAGGCGAGAGCACGACTCTTGAAAAGAGCGTCGGGAGATTTGAGGCGGAACGATTGCTGGCACCCGGCGTGCACGGGCCCTGTCCCCCGTGTCATAATAACTAGCACCAAGTAGCACCCCAGCGAAACGCGATTCGGGAATCGAAGGATCGCGAGTTCAAACGACGGTCGTCGGCCTTCGGGAAGGGGGGAGCCTCGTCGCCACCTTTCGATGCAGAGCTCGGACATCTGGCGCGCTCGAGCCCTGGGGAGGGTCGGGTGACCGATTTTTTGGGGTTGCCGTTGTTTCGGCCCGCCCGGCTCCGAAGCAGCGCCTCCGGGGCCCCCGCACACCACCACGGAGGGCACCCGCAGAGGACACCCGCACAGGGCCCCCGCACACCACCGGAGGGCACTTCCGCAGAGGCGCTTCCGCAGAGGGCACCCGCACACGCCCAGACTCGGCTCCTCCGCAGAGGGCTCACCACCCACCAAACCACCCCAACCCCACCCGAAGGCTCAGATTTTTGCCCTCGATTTCCAGGTTGGGGGGGGGTCGGGAAACATCGAACAAAAAACACGCGTGGAACCCTTACCCCCCCCACCCGAAATTCGGGCCTTCGGGTTGGGTTGGGGTGGTCTGGTAGGTAGTCAGACGCGTTTTGTTCGTCTCAGGGGTCCCCGCGGGATGCCGAAGCAGACCTGGGAGCGCCCGCGGAGCCAGGGCGGCGACCAAGAGGCGAGGGGCACGGGGGCGACCCAGACTCGGCTCCTCCGCAGAGGGGCGCCCGCACACCACCGCCGCCATGGCCGGCACTGGCCGCTCTGGGCCCCGGGACGGCGAGGGGACGACCCCCCCCCCCCCTGCCTCGGGCCGGGCCAGCAAGGCGCGCACGCGCCGCACCTGGGCCCCAGGGCGGCCCTCCCTCCCTCCCTCCCTCCCTCCCTCCCTCCCTCCTCCCTCCTCCCTCCTCCTCCTCCTCCTCCCTCCCTCCCTCCCTCCCTCCCTCCCTCCCTCGCTCCCTCCCCCCCTGTCGTGGGCGAAACGCATCTACCCATCGGTCGCCGAAAGTAGGTACTTTGGGGACTCCCAAGTTCTCATCGATTTGAAGCGCCCTCCCACTTCAACGATCGAGTGGTTCCACCTTTTCCGTCCTGCTTAGGTGGCGGGCGGACACCCATTCTACTTTCAACGCCGTCCTGCTTCATGTTCCCACCTTTTTTCCGACCGATGGGTCCACGCATCCGTGGCCTCGCGGTTCGGTCCCTCGGGCCGCGACGCCGCGGAGGGGCGCGTTTGTTCTGCGGAGGTCCCGCGGCGGAACGCCTCCGTGCGACCGCGCATCCGCGGGCTCTCCGCGCCCCGGAGGCCAGACCGCGAGGGCGCGGGCACGGATGCAGTCGGCCCAGAGTAGTGGGTCGACCCTGCCAGCTCAAGGGGGTATCCCTTGTGCCCTGTGCCTCGCGACACGTGCCCTCTTACGCTCCAATGGCTATGTGGCCTTCGCAAGGGTCTTGTGTGTTTAGCTCGCCGAGAGGCAGCGAACGCGATCTGTGTTCCTGGGGCGACGGAGGAGGAGGTGATGCTCGCAGCGTAAGAGCCAACCTTAGCAGCCCAATCGTTGGTAAGAGCAAACCGAAGGTCCGAACTTGTCGCGAATGGGTGTCGTAAGGACTGTTATTGACGGATCAAGCGCGCCGGCTGAGCGTATTGGGATCTGGCCTTGGAAACACAACGCTGCCCCCCAAGCGACCTCCAAGTCTCGTGTCCTCTCGCGTGTCCTCTCCAACCAAGTCCCACTGTAGTCAGGAGGGGAAAAAACATACAGACACAATTATTCGTCGACTCCCAGGGAAATATGGGCAAATACGGGAAGTGGGGGAGAACACAAAAACCCTGAAAATATAGGAAAATATGGGGAATCCTGCTGTTGGTGTGTATGTATTTGTGTGTCCTGGGGCCCCTTCACGTAGGCTCGCCGCTCGCGGCCCCTGGGGCCTCGCGCGGCGGCGCGGGCTCCGCGGGCGCCGCGCGCCCTCGGCGCCGGGGGCGGCCCGCCCCGCGAGGAGACCGAGCAGCTCAACAAGAAGGCCAAGAGGCCTTCCCGTTGAGCTGCTCGGAACACAACGCTGCCCCCCAAGCGGCCTCCAAGCCTCGTGTCCTCTCGCGTGTCCTCTCCACTCAGGTCCGACCGCAGGCTCGCCGCCCGCGGCCTCGGCGCCGGGGGGGCCCGCCCCGAGAGGAGACCGAGCAGCTCAACAAGAAGGCCAAGAGGCGGCCCCTCCTCCTCCTCCTCCTCCTTCTCCCTCCTCCTCCTCCTCCTCCTCCTCCTCCTCCTCCTCCTCTTTCTCCCTCCTCCCTCCTCCTCCCTCCTCCCTCCTCCTCCTCCAAGAGGCGGAGGAAGAGCGTGGTCGAGAAGGTGGAGGGCCCGTCGGCCTCGGAGAAGCTGCTGCCCAGCAGCCGCGGTCGGCGGGCCGCCCCCGGGGGCCATCGGGGGGGGGAGGGGGCCCCGGGGGCACGGCCGCCTCGGCGCGCCCGTCTTGACTCGCAGCACGTGCCGTGCTCGGAGCGCCCGCGTCAGCACGCTGCAAGGTGTTGGCCTAGCGTGTTGGCCCGCGGTTTGGCGAACGGGACTATCGCGCCCGACCTGCGTCTTCAGTCTACGGGTTGGGTTCCGTGTCAATGCGCCACGTGTTGCGTGTTGCGCATCGGGGCAGCTCGGCCTGGGGGACGACGGCGGGCGGAAACAAGTTGAGGAGCACTTCTGCCCCGCCCCCTCAGATGAGAAATCGGCAGTGGTAGTTGCCGATGATGTTGCTGGAGATAGACTGGCAATGAAGATGGAGGTGGGGATGAAGATGCCACTGATCATGGTGATGGTGGTTGTGAGTGTAATGGTGGTTATATGATGGAGATGGTAATGGTGATGATGATGGTGATGATGGTCATGCCGGTGACGGAAATTGTGATGATGACGATGGTGATGGTGATAGTTTTGGTGATGATGATGGTGATCGAGATGGCGCTGATGCTGGTGCGTGATGATGTGTATGGTGATGATGAAGATTACGATAGGAATGAGGAGGAGGAGGAGGAAGAGGATTGGATGGTTATGACGATGATGAAGCTGGTGATGATGGTCATCAGGATGACGAGAATGCTCATGATGACTGTGATGACCATGAGGATCACGAGGATGAGTATGATGGGGATCATCAGGATAATGAGGATCATGAGGATGCGGATTACGATGAGGAGGAGGAGGATTGATATGATAACGATGCCAACGAGGATGCGGATGCGGATGCGGATGATGATGATGCTGATGCTGATGCTGATGTTCATGCTGCGGATGATGATGCGAGGGATGACGATGATGATAATGGTGATGATGCTGGTGAGGATGATGGTTGTTTGAAGATGATTGTGATGATGATGAGGATGATGGTGATGGTGACTATGACGAGGATGATGACGATGATGATGAGAATTATGATGATGATGCTGCTGATGATGATGATGATGATGATGGTGGTGTTGGTGGTGATGATGATGGTGATGATGATGACGATGACGATGAGGAGGAGGAGGGGGATCAGGATCATGATGATGGTGGTGATGGTGGTAATGGTGGTGATGGTTATGGTGATGATGGTGATGATTATGCATTCCAAGATTTCCACGCTTTCGTGCTCTTTCATGCGCCCAGGGACCTAGAAAAGCCAAAGGCTTTGGAGCTCTAGAGCGTATCCTGAGGCGATCGCAGCGTGACACTATTCTCGTCACAAACCCCTAACATCGAAGTTGGCACGTTTAGGGAAGGCAGCGGGGAATTGCGGGTCATCAGATCCACCACCAACATTGAACATTGGGCGAAGGACCGCACGAACGTGATATGAGTCTTCGTTACTTGCTCCCGGTGCCTAGACCAAGCCGCCCGGCAAACCCAGGCCACCCGAACGGGCGCGACGATGCGGCAGGGTCGCGCCGCTTCGACGCGGTGGCGACCCCAGGCGCAAACGTTCGGGGCTGAACGCCGCCAGCCGCCCAGAATCTGCCGATGCCGAGCGATCTACGTTGTCGGGAATCAGGGGGCGAAAAAGAAACATGTCCGCCGTGGACGCTTGCCCCCCGGGTGGCTGAAAGTCTCTACCCCTACGCGGCGCCGCAGGGATGTGAGCTTTCGGCCGCCGAAAAAACAGACATCCACGACGGCAAACAAATTGGTTTGACATACCGCCCTTCGCCCGCTAATTCAGAAAGCCGCGACCGTTCTGGGCTGGACGATCAACATGGTGTCAGAGTCTGAGGCATTCCAAAAAGGGCCTTGCCTTCGAGGATCGAAGGAGTTGCCTTCTCTTCCTCCGCGGAAGGCGGCGGAAGGTCGGTTGAAGTAAAACGAGGCCGCCTCCGCTGGCAGAAGCCAGCGGAACCACGGCGGATGGCGGCGGAAGTAAACAGTGCGCCCCCGAGAGATGACAACGTTTGTGGGTTCAGGGCCCTCGGAGTCGGACGCGCGAGCCCGCTGCAGTCACACTCCGAGGTGGAGGGGTGCCCTTCTCCCCGGGGTCTGCGCGCGGCGCGGGGCGCGAAGCCAGGGTGGCCTGGGGCACAGTCGGGAAGAAAGAAGAAGTCGGCATCGACCGAGGGCGCGCGGGCGGTGTTAGCCATCCATCGGCGGCGAGCGAGGGGGGGGGGGGAAGTGAGAGAAGGAGAAGGCTTTCTCAGAAGGCGGCGGGACTTCTCAGAAGGCGCGAGGCCTTCTGAGAAGCTTGTCTGTGTCGTCCGGGATGGCCTAGGAAGCTTCTGTCAGAAGCCGGGGGGGATCCCGAGCCTTCTGACAAGGCCCGCACGCCCCTTCTCTTGTCCCCCCTCTTCGCTCGCCGCCGAGTGATGGCCTAGCCTCCGGAGGGTCGGTCTGACGGGCTGATCCTACGGCCCTCATCCTTGGGCCCGCAGTGTGGCCACCGACCGCGGGCCCAGAACGATGGAGGAGCGGATGGCGGCGCGCCGCATCGTGGTGGTGCTCGAGAAGTGCGCCCTGGAGTGCGTGCAGCCCCGGAAAGGCGCGCTCGAGCTGCTGAACAGCGACGACCACCACGGCATCGCCGCGAAGAGCGGCAGGACGGCGCTGTCTCCCTCGCCCTTCTCCACCTCCTCCTTTTTTCGTCGGGCAAGCCAAGATCGACTGGGGTCGTTGCGTCTGGGTGGTAAGTTCGCGACCAGTGAAAGAACAACGGACTCAGGCGCTGTGGCCCATACATTAAGACCTGAGTGAGCGCATCAGGAAAAAAAACACCAGAGACAGAGAGAGAGAGATTGAGACGCAGAAACCAGGGCCCGCAAAGCCATGAAGTATGCGCTCACCTCCTCATCCTCGCTATGAGGGCTCACGCTCGACCCACACGATCGTTCGAGGCGTTGCGGATTAATCTTCCTGGTCCCCGACGCGGGGCACCCCTAGGCTTTGTGCCTACAGCGGGGGTCGCCTCGAATGCGACCGCGCGGGCGCTGGTTATGCCAGACAGGCCGACTGCGTCTGCGAGCGATGTCAGCTGCCATCGCAGCGCGCAGAGCTTTGTCGATCGATTGCCGACTCCGTCTTGTCTCCTCGTCGTCGTCCTCTTCTTCCTCGTATTTGGCCATCCTTAGTCTCGCCTCCGTTGCAGACATGTCATCGGGAGGCTGTGGTGAGAGACGCGTCGATGTTGACGTGACCCAGGCGGCCAGGACAGCTTCAGCATGTTCGTATGTTTCTGCGAGTTGCCGAGGGGGTGTTGAAAAGTCCTCCTCCTCGCCTTCCTCTTTTTTTATGACGCTGCGCTAACTCAAGGGAGAGGCCTGAAGCGTTAGGGTGCAAGAGAACGACGCATCGAATGCTGACCTAGGCCGATACCAAGGTACGGAAGCTTGGCGGGCGCAGCCGAGCCGCAAAGGCGAACCCATTTTATACATACTAATAATAATGATACCAATGATAATAATAATAATTCTCATACTAATTATTACTATTAGTATTATTATGAGTGCCCCGACGGGCATAGAGTATGCGTCCGCCAGGCCGCATTGTTGAGTGGGGAAGAGGAGAGTAACCAGGAGGATACCGAAATCGGGGAGAAGCAACAGCTGCAGGTGGTCTGGCGCAAGTGTTGGTGCAAGAAGCTGCATCCCACCTCGGTACACAAGGAAAGGTACCTCCCCGCTACCGCCCGCAAGTATAGGGATGCATTCTCGCGCGTGAGAAATGCAAACACAGATGCACCGGGCAGTCAGGCTGACACTGCAGGTCAGGTCTGCATACGGGTACCAGTCTCTTCCAGGCATCTCCGCACCCACGTTGTTAGTCAAGTCGTATTGTAGAACAAAAGACAGGCGACGCGAGACAGAGTGGCAGCAGTATTCGAGGGACAAGCTACATAGCTGGAGACAAAGAGGCAAATTATGCTTCACAGTAAATAGGCTGGCTCAATGGGCAAGCTTGCGGTAAAGCTAGGGTGGTGAGTTCCGCCTCTTTGCGGTGGTGCAGCGGGCGATGCGCTCTAGCGTGCACCGCCGCTACCCTCACACTGTCCAACAAATCCCCGCCAACCCCACACAAGTACCACATCCATAGAAGTCCCACTCCACCCTAACCTGCAATGTGTGGCAAGCTGAAAATAATTTCAAACACGTGAATGAGACGGCTACATGTAGCGAATAATTGATGAAACTATATATATGTATACTGTCAGGCCTAATGTCCGTTGCGCGGGAGAATCGTACATTTGTTGAGGCTGGTTCATGATGAATGATTGACCTTCATACCAATGCCTACAATGCAAGCGCCTGAGACTGCAAGCTGTGAGAAATCCCTGCTCCACCACCACCTCCTCCTCCTGGTCCTTCTCCTCCTCCTCCTCCGCCTCCTCCTCTTCCTCCTCCTCCCCCTCCTCCTCCTCCTCCTCCTCCTCCTCCTCCTCAAGTGCTCTCGGCTTGGGCGCTTTTTCATCCACCCATCCGCTAACGTAGCCTACCAGCACCCTTCTGCACTTCATAATTGTGTCATGTTCTGCTAACGTTGCATTGCATCTCACTCGTGCATCAGTGAACAGTACAACGGCGGCCGCTGGCCTCGTCCATGATGCAGCATGTCTCGATCTTGCAATATAATCCACTTTCATCCAGCTGCCCGACTAGATTGCATGAGATCGCCCTCAACACAGGCAATATGGATTTCGTTTGCTTGAATGGTACAGCAGAACAGCAGCAGGGACAGGAGGTAGCGCAATGGCGACGAGCAGGGCCCAAACGTTGGTGTGTTTCACATGGTTGGAAGCGAGGTCCCTACTCGAATAAATCTGCAGGATGCGCTATCATCCTGGGCCCACGTATCCCCCGCAGGAACATCGTCGGCGTCTGGGCGGCTCCTCAAGCAGCAGCTGGGCGCGGCCTGGCCATCAGGGCAAAGAGCAAGCAGTTCGACCTCGGCATCTGTAGTCTGTACTTCCCTCCTCCCCCACATCATGCGCGCAGCATTCCAGCTTGCCATCGTACTTGCGATATGTTGGTGAAATGGCTGCAGCGGTTACCTCTTTGGTGTGCGCATAGATGCCTACCGATAGTGTGCTTGGACCTCAACTCAGGATTTGGACTTCAACGAGCACCAGGGCAGGAGGAATGGACTGCGATTTCTTCTCAGTGTATCGGATCAGCAGCACCAGCAGTACGTCAACGTTATGCAGCTGACATTTTACTGCCTTTACTTGAACAACTGGATCTGGTACCCATCAACACCTTTCGAGGGGGAGGACCTACCTTTTACAGTTCTACTGGCACCAGCTCACAGTTGGATTTCATTCTCGTACCAAGATGTCTGATCTCGGCGGTTACCAGTGCAGGACCTTTGCGTAGATTAGCGACGGAGTTGCAGACAATACCTTCTCGGTATCATCGTGACCACATTCCAGTACACGTTCGACTTCAATACTCGCTGGAAGCGGTACTTGGGCTGGCAACTCATATGCAGTCCGCATTGCGACACGGCTTCGCTTATCAACCCATCAAATGGAATCGTGAGGCCCTTATGGACGCATTGCGTAGAGGTACTCACCGCGCTGAATTTCCCATGGCCGTCGAGAACCGACTCAATAGAGAAGCAGCTCAGCATCAACAAATTCGGCGAGAAGAGCAGACACCTAATCATGAATGGGCTTATCTCTTGCAGGTGATGGCGCAGGAGGCACAGCAGTTTTTTACTTCCTCTGTTGAACCAGCAGCTGGATACAAGCAACGCGCCGATCAAGCACTACAGCTACTTGAGCAGCGACGCGAACTACGTGTACAACTTGCTGCACTCGCTGAATGCAATGGGAGTACCGATCTCTCTTGTAAGGCAGCAGGCTCTTGCCATGCCGAACCACGCCACCCCAGTCAGAATGCTGAGCAGGACCCATCTTGGGAGGCGACCATCCCCCTGGGGAGACACGTCTCTACCAGGGCGCCTGAGGCCACTGATGCGGCCATGTCTCCCACCGTGGAGCCTTGTGGCTTCGGGCACCCCTCGTCTGCGCCTATGCTCGACAAAGCTCGATCAAACTGGGGGTCAGAACGACAGTCAACAAATAACACTCACGACGTCGCCTCTGATCCCACAACTCCTGCAGACGACCTACAGCAGCGAGAAGCAGCACTATGTCAACAACTACGGGATCTCTCAAAACGACAGCGACAGCAACGGCGACAACACTTGGTGGCCTGGCGACAAGACGTAACAGCAGAACTTCTACAAGCTTATCAGCAGGGACGTAAAGCAGAAGTTGCGAGGCTTTCGAGGCTTTTATCTGCAAGAGGCACTGGACCTCGCAAGCGAAATTACAAACGAGTTGTATCGACACTCCCAACATCGACAGATTTGCAGAGGAGATTCCAACTTTCATCTGGTGAAGGAGGCATGGAAGCGGATCTTATTCCAAGTTGGGAAGCACATGTAGATGATTATCTTTACGGCCCTGAAGGACTTGAAAATCAGGATATCACTTCGCCATGGTCACAGCAGGGGCTCGACTGGGCTCGCGACAAGCTCAAGCTCATAGGGCAGCACTTCAGAACAGCACCGAAGCGCAAAGCGACACCACCATGGTCTCTACCATTGGAATTGTTTTGGATGCTATTTCGCCCATATCGACGAACTTCGAGAAGATATCGAGGGCTTGGATATGAGCAGGCAACAATTGATATGAAAGGAATACGCACTTTTCCCAAGAGCATGATGCACAAGATTTATCGTACCAGTGAGATGCCATTGGCTTGGAATCTTTCGAATGGAGTAGCAATTACATGGAAACGAGTTATTCACGTCCTCTGTCCGTTTGGAAAGGCTTTTAGTGCGAGTTGTATTTGTCCCACTCAACGCAATGTGGAACCGAATTTTGCACATGGATGTGTTGCGGCCAGAAGGCGGGAAACCCCAATGATGGTGCAGCAGTCTCTTGGATGGCGACTTAGACGGCTAGGACTCTCCTTCATACGCGACCACAAAGATGTGACGAATGCTTTTGGGAGCACGTCTTTTTCTTCACTGGCTGCTAGTAATGATACGATCATGCGAGATCACGAAGCACGTTTTGGCAGGCATCGGTTTCTCAATGCAGCAGTGTGTTTTCAAGGACCTGAAGGTATACTATTCGCAAAGCCAAATGTCGGAGCGCTACAGGGTGATCCTTGGGCAGTGAAAGTGTTTACGAGAGACATCGGCACAGTCTTCAGCAGCACGCAGGACCAGTATGCAGACACAGGGGATGAGACAGCGCAATGGTGTGTTATTGATCTCCCGACGGACGACGGCGGTACTGAGCAGCTGGACCTCGCTTTTCACAGCTATGTGGATGATGCTACACGAGTATTAGTTTCCTCTGGCACTCACGCGGATACTGGCATTGAACTTAGCTCCAAGTCACTCGCTTACGAGCAGATCTTACATCAGAATATGCAGCAGCACAACTATCTAATCAATCCTTCGAAGAACGAGAGCGTGGTGGCGGTGTTTGGCCCCAATTCGCAGTCACTTCGACGACGTTTCCGAGACGGGCAACTACCTCTGGCAGGCCGGGCCCAAGATCGAGCACGACTATTGGGAGGCATTCTCAGAGCGGACTCCACCTTCGCCAGCGAGCTCCCATGCAGGTTGGAAGCTATTGATGCAGGGTTTGCAGCAATGGGAAGATATTGGTATCAGGACCGCTTGCCGTACATTGAAAAAAGGACAGTCTTCCTCAGTCGAATCTTGGGCCCAGCATTGTCGGGCTTGGAAGCGTTTATCCCAACGTCTACTCAGCTTGAGAAGATCCAGACACGTATTTTGTTGTATGCCAGGAAAGCCATGAGGGGTGAGGCCACTAAGTTCACAGGTACCCACATGGTTTCAGTCTCGAATGATGATGTGTTCAGGTACTGGCGGATTGCGCCTCTTGAAATAGAATATCGTGCCAGGCGTATCAAATGGTATCAGTCTTGGGTGAGAGATCCTCAAAAACACAAATCTGAATGGGGGGCCCTCTTGGGAACTATGAGAGTGGAGGAGGAGGAGGGACTTTGCATTATCAACGAAAATGGACAACTCTCGGAATGTGCTTGCCCCTGGGCCCGTCGGTTCGTAAACGACATCGTCTCGCTTGAGGACCTAGGAGACAACGAGTACGAAAAGATCCAGGAGTTTAACAAAATGCCCTTCCGCCTCTTCAGCACCCCTGAGCTCGTTGACTGGTTCACTCTCCTGGACCCCAAGGTTATCAGAGCAAAATGGCTTGGCATCGCTATACCCCCTCCTGGCTATCAAATACCCTACTCGAGCAATGTAGTTGACCAGCATACTGAAACTAATACGCTAGCTGACGATCGATGCCCCGTTCACTTATGTGGTCGTGCTTTTCATAGTAAGCGTCAGCTCCTCGTTCATCTTCAGAACCATCATGGACTCAGGTCGATTCTTGGACAAGCTATTTTTTCTAATCAGTGCTTCGTCTGCGAGAGTGTCTTCGAATCTAGGAATTCGGCCTACAAGCACGTGTGCCAGAGCTTTAAGACAGGAGTGTGTGTGTATGCTAGAAGTTCGACCTACCAGCCCAGCGCGAGTACGACCTTCGAATGTCCGTTGTGTGAGGCTCAAACTGATTCGACACCAGCACTACTTCTCCACATCAGGCAGCATTTCACTCTTCTTCCAGTCGTCGACGATGGCGGAGGCAGCAGCAAATCCAGATTGGTTCATGAAGCCTCAAGGCAAACGAGGACTAGAAGCGGGGCAAGGCAGTTCACAGAAGGACACGAAGCTAGCCAAGTTACAGGAGGAAGTCATCAGCAACCAGGAGGGCGCGGGCTCTGCGTTAGCGGCGCTCATCACCATCTTGCGCCGCCTCGCCTTGCACAACAGCCGCGAGTTGGCGGAGCTCATAGGCGCATGTTTCGTATGCTATTTGGTTCCGCCCACAGCGGGCATGGCGCCGATCATCCAGGCGGCAGGCCAGGACTACAACGTAAAGTGCAAAGAGAAGGGCAAAGATCATGGCTTGGGCCCGCCGTGGCCACAGATATTTCTCGGACTTTTATTCTACCTGGTCAAGGAAGCGACAGATGTTCCACCCAAAGCCAAGGCCACGCTGGTCAGATACTGGAACATCGTGGTGAAGCTACCGCAGCAGACAGCGCTACGACACGTACAAGAGCACGTGAGGTTCCTTCGACTCAGGGCCTGCCACTACGACAAGAAGCAGCACTCAGACCCCCAGATGTTCAAGTTACAGTTCATGGTGGCTCCAGCTCAGCAGACGTTGGTCCTACGCGAGGAGGACAGCCAGGAGCTTCTCACGTTGCACGAGGCTCTGTCGCAAGCAGTGGAAGCGTAGGGGGGCCAGTTCAAACCAGGATCAGCGCCGCGAGGCGCGATGGAGAGGGATGCAGAGAAACTATTGAATCGCATCGGGCTGTCGAACGAAGCCGTCCAGAAGCAGGTGCACAAGAAGTAGCTCGTTTGGTTTCTATCTCTGGATCTGAGCGGATGCTCGAGCTATTGAAACATGGACTTCTGAATGATGAGGCGCTTGCTAAGCTGCAGGCTAAATCCGCCAAGCCCATCCTAGAGTACTCAGCAGGCACTAGGAAGTTCTATATGTTTCATCAGATCGGAACCCCAGTGGAGCCCTGTCTAGATATTATAACCCTGCTCCAGAGGTCCTCTCGGGTCCGACAGATGCGTGGTGATTTACCTCTCTCCTCGGTTGAGCCCCCTTCCCCCTTCCCCCTGCTCGCTCCGCCCTCTCAACCTCCACAGGCGCCTGACCCCACGCAGGCCGCATCAGAAAGCTAATATATTGTAGGATTGCGACCTCTTGACTCGCACCTAGAGCTCTCAGGGGATAAGGTGCCTCTGGAGGGCCTCTGAGGGGCGGCTTGCCCCCGTCTGGTCCCTCTGTAGGCCAGAGGAATCCCCCCGCAGGGCCGCTGGTAGGCGCTAACACACAGCGCTCACAGAGCCATATCCATATTCTCAGTTGAACTGATTTCAAGCCTTTTAGGTTTCCCAGCCAGCAAGACAGCGACCAATTGGCTCGTAAGTGCTCTTGTCTTGTCTTGTCCTCCTCCTCCTCCTCCTCCTCCTCCTCCTCCTCTTGACTCGAAAGGGTCTACCACGACCTGGGCGGGGGGCGGCCAAGCGACCGATGCAAGAGCTCGGCGGCGGGTCACGGCCACGGTGCTTTGCTTGCGCGTTCGCGCACGTCGGGAGTTCGCGCATCAGCGCGACGCTCCTGCGGGCAGGGCCTGACCTCCTCCTCCTCCTCCTCCTCCTCCTCCTCCTCCTCCTCCTCCTCCTCCTCCTCCTCCCACTCCTCCTCGTCTTCCTCCTCCTTTTCCTCCTTGTCCTCCTCCATCTCCTCTTCCTCCTCCTTCTCCTTCTCCTCTTAGTCTCCTCCCCCTCCTCCTCATCCTAGTCCTTTTTTCCTACTCATTACTCCTCATCCTCCTCATCCTCCTCCTCCGCCTCTCCCCTCCTCCTCCCCTAATCCAATCCTCCTCGTTTTCCTCCTGTCCCTCCTCCTCCTCACTTTCCCCTCCTTCTCCTTCTCTTAGCCTTTCCCCCTTTCCTAATACTAGTCCTCCTCCTATACTCCTCCTCCTTCTCCTCCTCCTCCTCCTCCTCCTCCCACTCCTCCTCGTCTTCCTCCTCCTTTTCCTCCTTGTCCTCCTCCATCTCCTCTTCCTCCTCCTTCTCCTTCTCCTCTTAGTCTCCTCCCCCTCCTCCTCATCCTAGTCCTCCTCCTCATACTCCTCATCCTCCTTCTCCTCCTCCTTCTCCTCCTCCTCCCAGTCTTTCTCCTTCTCCTCTTCCTCCTCCTCATCCTCCTCCTCTCTACCGTTGGTTACGGTCAGGAACCTTGGCTTAGCGTGTCGCGTCGCCAGTTCTAGTCCACCACGCCTCGGCGCAACACGCCACGAACGGCATGGTCCTCGTCGAGCGCCAACGTCCTGAGTTTTTCCCGGTTGCCCACCCCGCGAAGCGGAGCGACACGCCATCCGCTCGCAAGACATGGAGAGGGCCGCCGCTTCCACACGCCGGGCACGTGTTCTTGACCGTATCCCCTCTGAAAGGTGCAACTCCTGTGAGGTGAGCTTCAGAACCGACGCCTGTACATCCGCGGGCGAAAAAGGCAGAATCCAGCCTAATCCAGTGTACCCCCATTTAATCCAGCCTGGCCAGGCGTAATCCTGAGCCCCATCCGGCTCAATATGGCCCAGTGGCTTCCCGATGGGGCCGAGTAGGCCCTAACAGTTCTCACGAAGACCAGGAGCTTCCTCCGAACCCCTTCCCCTGGCAGTGCAGACCCCCCTCCTCATCGTGCTCGCTCCTCCTCCTCCTCCTCCTCCTCGTTCTCCTCGTTCTCCTCCTCCTCCTCCTCTTCCTCCTCATCTTAGTCTCCACCTCCTCCTCATCCTCCTCCTCCTCGAGCTCGTCCTCCTCCCTCCCGCCCTTTCGTGCCGCGCGGCCGCCCGCCTGCTCGCCAGGGACGTGGCGGACCTGCGGCCCGACATCACGCACCAGTGCCTCATGGCACTGCTGGACAGCCCGCTGAACAAGGCGGGCGGCCAGCTGGCTCCCCCTCTGGAGCGCCCCAGAGGTCAGTCGGGCAGGTCCCTCTGCAGGGGAAGTCTTCAAGCACAGCTTCAAAAGTCAGGGGGTGATGTTTCGGCTATGTTGCTATGCTTGGGGCGCTGTTGCAAAGAGTTCGACTCTTTCTCGGTTCTCTTCCCAAATCCGCTTGTGGGGGGCCATGCCCGACCTAACTGCAGGGGGGGCCTTCGAGGGATCGAGGGGCCGACAGCCCTTCCCCGGCGGAGGGCGGCGGAAGCAGAGCGAGGCAGCCTCCGCTGGCGGAAGGCGCTGGGAGGCCGACGCCCGATGACCGCCGAAGAACGCCGGAGGCCACCGAGGGAATACGTAGGGGTACACCTTAGGCGATGCTTAAGAAAACCCAAGTTTTCGGCCAGAGTCTCGATTATTCTTAATGTTCCCATGTAAATCCAAAGATTTGAATCGACATTTTGGGTTTTTATTCAAATTCTGAGACTATGAATTTCTTAACCCATGATTTCTAAAGCATGTCGCAGGGTGTATGGTGGTCGCGTGTGGCAATGCATCCAGGCCGGCAAGCTGCTCATATACCTGCACACGGCCCAGAATGTGCTCATAGAGGTGCACCCGTCCCTGCGCGTGCCGCGCACGTTCAAGCGCTTCGCGGGCCTGTGCGTGGAGCTGCTGCAGCGGAACAAGATCAGGGCGGCGCAGGCCAACGAGACGCTGATGAAGGTGGTGTCCAACCCTGTTGAGAAGTACCTGCCGCCGGGCAGCAGGCAAGGGGCGAGTGAAGACGGTTCCCCTGCCCCCAGCCCAGGGCACGGGCGTGGTGTGGCTTCCTCCATGTGAAACTTATCAAAGCGTGGCTGCGCACCATGGGTCAACACTTTTTATGCTTATGCATGTTTGTGGTTGTCTATAAAGCAGAATGCTCACCAACAACAGTAAGTCCATCCAGGCGTGTTTCATTCGTTTGCGCCGCCGTCCTTGGCCTGTTTCGGACCCTCTCGATGCCGATTCAATCGGTCTCTCAAGCTTAATTCTGTTGTTCAGTCTTTGGCACGTCTTGGGACCATCCGAGAAGCTTCTCGGACCCTTCCTTAGTGCCTCGGGGCTGCTTTGCCCCCCCCCCCCCGCTGCCGTCCGAACTGAGTGGGGAGGCGAGCACATCGCAGACCAGCATGCCTTTAAGCCGAGGCTGATTAGGAGATATCGACCCTGCCAAACCAAGGGTACCCATTCTGTCCGACGGTCCGGGAGCCCGAGACCGGGCGAGAGCGCCGGTGCGAGAAAGGATGGACGGGGGGAAGGGGACAGCCTCAGCCGCAGCACGGCCCGCGCGCCCGTGACCCACGGCCAACCATGCGCGCGCGAGGCGCTTGCAGCCCCCGTCGCGGCCCTCGCGCGACGCCCACGCCGCGCACTGCGCGCTGTGACGTCCCAAGATGCCCACCAAGAGGCTCCCAGGGTGCCTCCAGGAGGCCCCAAGAGGGCCTCAAGAGGCCTCCTCGTCTTCCTCCTCCTCGTCCTCCTCTCTCTCGCCTCCTCCTGTCCTCCTCTCCTCCTCCTCCTCCTCCTCCTCCTCCTCCTCCTCCTCCTCCTCGTCCTCGTCCTCCTCCTCCTCCTCCTCCTCCTCCTCCTCCTCCTCCTCCTCCTCCTCCTCCTCCTCCTCTCTCCTCCTCCTCCTCCTGTCTCTTCCTCGCCTCGCGCGCCGTGACTGACGCGCCCCCGTTGGCCCTCCCGCGGGCCCGCCGCACGAGGGCCCCCCGCACGAGGCGGTTCGGCTTCTCGGTGTCGGGCCGGCCCGTGAAGCTGCGGGAGTTCGCCGCGCAGCTGGACGCGGACGGCCAGCAGCAGGGCCGCGCCGGCGACGTGCCCATCCCGGGAGCCAGGAGCACGGGTGCCCCACCCTCGGGGGCCCCCAAACGTCGGGAGCGGCAAAGAGGGGGGTGATGATAAGGGGGGGCGGGACATCATGGCGGGGGTCATGAGGATTCCCCAGGTTTCAGGGCGCCTCTTCTCATTTCATTGCGTCCCTGGCCCCCCCGCTGGGCTGTGCACATGCTGCCGGTCATGATTTGCACCCCTCCCTCTTGGACACCCCCCTCTTGGCCGCTCCCGAAAACGGGGCGGTGACCACACCGTGCGGTGACCAAACGGGTGCCGCACCCTCTGGAGTCCCGAAACGGTGCGGTGACAAACCGTGCGGTGGCCCCGAAATCCCCCGAGGCCTCACCGCACGGTCCGTCACCGCACGGTGTTGGGACCTCGGAGCCCCCAGTCGCCCGAGACGTCCTCGGAGAGCGAGAGCGACCCGAGTTACGAAAAGCCGGGAGCACGGGGGCCCCACTCTCGGCCCTCGCGGCGGCGACGATAGGGGCGAATAGCCCAGGGGCGGGCGTTACACGTGTTCGCCCGGGAGCCTCTTCGAAGACATAGATCATCGGCGCACTTGAATACACGTATTGCTCTCCCCTGGGCTATTCGCCCCTGTCGTCGCCTCTGACCCTCGGCGGCTACAAAGGGTGCGGTTACGCCGGGGTGTGGTTTGCGATCGGCGCCGTTGGGGCCTGGGGGGGCACGACACTGTGCTCGTCGGGCCTCTTCGGGGCGCGGCGGAGAACTCTATCGAGGTCCCCGCCCGCCCCCCAGAGTGCCCCCTGGGGTGCAGGTTGCAAACCACACCCGTTGCAAAGCAC